ATAAGAAATAGGGGCTGCACTATGGAAAACAGTATGGAGATTTCTCAAAAAATTAAAAATAGAAATACCTATGACCCAGCCATCCCACTACTGGGTATCTATCCAAAGAACTTGAAACCAGCAATTCCAAAAGTCCCATGCACCCCTATGTTCATTGCAGCATTATTTACGATAGCCAAGACATGGAAGCAACCTAAGTGCCCATCAACTGATGACTGGATTAAGAAGATATGGTATATATATACAATGGAATACTACTCGGCCATAAAAAAGGATAAAATCATCCCATTCACAACAACATGGATGGACCTTGAGGGTATTATGTTAAGTGAAATACGCCAGATAGAGTAAGACAATCTTTGTATGACTCCACTCATATGTGGAAGTTAAACATGTAGACAAAAAGAACAGATTAGTGACTACCAGGGGAAAGGGGGGGGGGGTGGGCACAAAGGGTGAAGTGGTGCACCTACAACACAACTGACAAACAATAATGTACAACGGAAATTTCACAAGGTTGTAAAATATCATAAACTCAATAAAAATTAAAAAAGAAATAGGGGCTGCATCTGTCATCTTTTTCTGCCAGACCAAACTCTCACTAAAACCTCTAACGTTGAGAATATCTTCTGATCATTCCCACTCATTGGGAGTCTTGCTATTTGAATGAAAGCAGCCTCTTTTCTCTCTAAGCATCAAGGTGATGGTTGTGGAGGAAGTGGAGGATGTTAGATGTCCAAGCAGCTTCATTATTGATTGTTGAGGAATTCTGGATGAACTTCTAATCCTGATTCACTCAGAAATTACAAAGATAATTTGATTCAAATCCCAAATCTGCTCCCTCATTTCTTTGCTACATGTTGAAATCAAAGGCTGGAAAGGGGCATCCGTAAAAGAGACAATGGTGCGTAACAAACTCAAAAGTTACACGTCTGTTAAGTTATATAAAATGGAATAATCTAATTTTAATACTTTTCCTTCTCTTCAACCTAATCATGAATCAGAGGTTTTCAGTAATTCTCAGAGCAAGAAAAATTTCCATATTCAAAATGACACACTTGAAATGCTGGAAATGTTTAGACTATTAAGTGACTAACTAAATGAGTACTATTTGCTTGTTAAATTGCATAATGTGAAATGAATATTACTTTCAGATATTCAAATAAAAGACATAAAACACTGAACATAATTGCAGTCAACTTTTGATTATCTATACTCATGGAAAAGAAAAGGTGGCCTGAATAAATGGAAAGTTAGAACACATATCTGGAAGGGAAGACAAGTGTCAATTCTTCTAAAAATAAACTATAAATGTCATTACAATCAGCATGAAAATGGGAAATTTTAACAAGTGAGTGACTTTAAAGTTCATATAGAAGAAGAATAAATGTAAGAAAATAAAGCCAAGGAAAAATTAAAGAAAAATAATGAGGGGAGTAACTTATCTTTCCAGATATTAAAACTTATGGTAAAACCTGTTATTGTATCTGCATAGGAAGAGACAAATAGATGGCAGAAGAAAGAATGGGGAATTCAGACATAGATTCAAGTAAATATGGAAACTTAATACACAACAAGGGTGGTATTTCCATTTATTTTTAAATGACTTGTGTTAGCATAAATAGCTTTCCATATGAAAAAGAAAACTTGTAGCTCTACCTGATATCATATTTTTTAAATTCCAAAGATTGCAGTTTTAAGTGTAAAAATAAAACAATAAAAAGATTAGAAGAAAAATTAAGAAAGTAAATGGGTAACCTTAGAATGTGAGCATCCTTCCTAAGTAAGACTCTAGTCCCAATAAAAGCTACCATTATATCTCACCTGGATTACAACAATAAACTCTTAACTAGTCTGCCTGCATTCACTCAAGTTCCTATATAATACATTCCCCAAGCAGAGTGATCTTTAGAAAACAAAACCTGTTCCACTGGACATAGTTGGACCTCCTGTAGTTATGTCCTCCTTTTTCACCCTTAAAGTCGTTTATGTGTTCTCTATTTTTTTGTTTTCTTGAACCAATTTTTGGTCTTTGTTGAGTTTTTTTGTTGTATCTTTGTTTTCTATTTCATTTACTTTTATTACTGCTTTCTTTATCCTTTTCTAAAAAGGTTTTACTGCTGTATTTGGACACGACTCTATTTTTAAGCTTTTCTTCTTTTGCAATGTAAACATTTAAGACTATAAATGTCCCTTATAGTACTGCTTAACTTGCAAGTTTTGATGTGCAGGATTGTCATTATTATTAAGTCATATTTCCATCATGTTTTTTTAAATTCATGATTATTTAGATGTGTTTTTGTTCATTTCCAAACATATGGCATTTTCAGGATAGTTCTTATGGAAGTGTTACATAAATACCAAAAAGTACAGAAATCATAAATAGAAACTTTGATGAATTTCCACAAAATGAGTTTATCCAGGTACTCACCCTCAAAACAGGATAAAGATTATTATTCCCACATGCCCCTAGTATGTCCACTCCAAGTCATCACCGTCCCCAAAGGTAACTAACTATCCTTACTTCTATTACCATCAGTTTTGTCCATTTTTGGATTTTATATAAACAGAATCATACAGTTTGCTCTCTTTTGTATTTATTGTCTTTCATTCTTCCCCACAGTTATGAGATTCATCCATTTTATTGCATGGATATACAACTCTTGACGGGCATTTGGGATGTTTTCAGTGTGTGATTCTTATGAGTAATACTGTTATTAACATTTTGTAGGCATTTCTGCTGGGTATATACCTAGGAATGAATTATGTGTTATATCTATGCCTAGGTTCGGCTTTAGTACATACGAGCAATTTTCCAAAGTGGCTGTAGGAAGCTCCACGACCACCACCAGAGAAGAAGGGTTTTTGGTACTTCACATCATTGCCAACGCTTAGCATGGTGAGTTTTCCTAGTGCTAGGATCTGGGGAGCACAGAGTGGCTTCTCCTTGTGTCTTAAATTTGCATTTCCCAAAAGAACTAATGAGCTGAGCACCTTTTCATATGTTTACTGGCAACTCAGAGATCCTCTTTCATGAAGTACCTGTTCAAGTCTTTTTCCTCTTTTTAAAAATTGAGATGTCTGTATTTCTCTCACTGACTCAAAGGAGCTTTTAATAAACTGAATATCAGTCCTTCAATATATGTAAAGAAAATATCTCTCATATTATGTGCCTTGCCTTTTCACTCTCTTAATGTCATGTTTTCATGATCAAAAGTGTAAGTTTTAATGAAGTCTAATTTATCAATCTTTTCCATTGTGACTGTGATGTTTGAAACACAGTTGACAAAAGATAAGTGTTCAGAATATATAAAGAACTTTTACAAGTCAATAAGGAAGAAAAAGTCAACTTAAAGATAGGAAAAGACATGAACAGATATTTCACAAGAAAGGAAAAATGAATGGATAATAATCATATGAAAAGATGTTCAAACTCATTAGTAATCAGACCATGTAAATGGGATATCATTTTGTATCTGTCAGATTGGCAAAAATTAAGTGTTTGGCAAGGATATGGAGCAACAAAATTAATACACTGGCCGTGGGGGATGAAAATTAGAAAAACAGCTTTGGAATATAGTATGGTATTACTTTGTAAAGTTGAAGATAATCCTTGTCACCCATCTTGTTTCCTCCCAGGTATCTATCCTAGAGAAAATCATGCACATATGTGCATGGAAATTGGATAGCGGTACTCAAAAAAATTGAAATGACAAATAACAAATGTTCACTGATAGTAAAATAGATAAATTATAGCATATACACACAATGGGACAATATACAGCAACAAAAATTTAAATAACATTTATCAACTTGGATGGATCTCAAAATTATAAGGTAAGTATAAAAATCAATTCTCAGAAGTCTACATGCAGTTTGAAAGCACATAAATGTCAAAATCATACATATTTGACAATATATTATTTGGGAATACATATATATTCAGAAACATGATAACAAAATTATTATCACAAGGGAGTGATAATATAATTCAAAATAATGATCATCCTTCATGGGAAGGAATACAGTTGGGAAGGTGCCCACAGTGGTCCTCAGAAGTTTTGGTAGTATTCTAGTTCTTAAGCAGGATGGAGGAGTACACAAGTGTTTATTTTAGTCCTACTTTTATGTTATATAAGTGTTACACCTATTCTATATAAGACTATTTCATCATAAAAGATTTTTTTTCTGCTTTTTCTCCCCAAATCCCCCCAGTACCTAGTTGTATATTTCAGTTGTGGGTCCTTCTAGTTGTGGTATGTGGGACGCTGCCTCAACGTGGCCTGATGAGCAGTGTCATGTCCACGCCCAGGATCCAAATGAGCGAAACCCCGGGCTGCCAAAGCGAAGCACGCGAACTTAACCACTTGGCCATGGGGCCAGGCCCTGTAAAAGATTTTTTAACATCCTACAGCCATCAAAGTGATATTTTTGGAACAGTGTGAAATATCATGAAAATACCAACATCTCCATATATGCTTTTGTATGCATAGTATACCTCTGGGAGGATATACAAGAAAGTGGTAACAATAATTGTTGTAGAAACTTATCTGGAAAGACTCCATTTGCCCCTCAAGATCCACTTTTCATCCTTTTCTGTGTCCCAAACTCTTTAAAGACTGCACGAACTGGCTCCCTTGTTTTATCACTTCCAGGCCAGTTCAGCCAGTTGGAGGCACCAGGGAGAAGGGTGGGATTCAGGTATTTACTCCCCTAGCTCCCTCTCTGCCTGGTTGCCAGGATTGTTTATGTGTCCCTCTAAGAAAGGCCACAGCATGTGCTGCCTTGACCTCTGTATTGGTCAGGGTTCCCCAAAGAAACAGAACCAATAGGATATGTGCGTGTGTGTGTGTATGTGTGTGTGTGTGTGTGTGTGTGTGTGTGTGCGCATGCGCATGTGTATGTGTGAGAGAGAGAGATTTATTATAAGGAATCGGCTCACGTAATTATGGAGGCTGAGAAGTTCCAAGATCTGCAGGGTTAGTCAGCAAGCTGGAGACCCAGGAGAGCCGATGTATAGTTCCAGTCTGAGTCTGAAGGCCTGAGAACCAGGAGAGCCAATGATGTAAGTTCTGTTCCAAAAGCTGACAAGCTCAAGACCCAAGAAGAACCAACGTTTCAGACTGAGTCTGAGGCTAGAAAAGAGCATTGTCCCAGCTCAGCAGTCAGGCAGGTGGCGTTTGGCCAAATGTCTGCACACCCTGTAGCCCAGTCATCCTCTCCTGTAGCTATAAGCTGCTCTCTCTGGGCTCTCCCTCCTCTTGCCCATTCAAGTCTAGAATGTTACAGCACTGTACCTTGTTTTCCTTAACCCATACTGTTGTAAATGGTCCCTTAAGTAACCATTCCTCAATTATCCTATCTGAGTATACCACCCATTTCCTGCTGGGCCCCTGACTGATCCTCTTATTTTTAAATATTAGTAGCTATAGCCAAAATTCCTAACATATAATAAATTATGTGGGCTTATTGGTAAAGAGCCTTTTCAAACACAATGCAATCATAGGCCAGCTGAATGCTTCAGAAGGCCTTTGATGCACAGTCTGTCACTCCCTGGCTTTCCCATCTGAATTTCCAAGTGAAACCAAGGGTAGAGAGGCCAAAGGAAACCTCAAATGCTACCACCTCAACAGCACTTACTGTCCATGGTATCTAGCCAGGATCTTTGAACTGCGGTCTGGCCTCATCATCTCCTCCGGGACACAGCTGGCCACTGACAGGCAGTCCAACACAACATTTAAAATTCAAAATGTGTAACAGAGAATAATGAAGCCATCTGGTCCATATTATGTTGTCCAACAATTATAAGTAATGTGAGCTATAAATACAACAAGCAAAAGGAAGCAAACAAGAGACCATTAATCAATACAGACAATTTGCACGAGATATGATGACTCAAGTGTATTTACACAAACACAGAAAATCGTTTTTCAGGAGAATCTTTACAAATGGTGGACTAAAGCAGGTCTAGACTGAAAAATATGACCTGCCAATGCCCTTCAGTCACATAACTTCTCTGAAGTAATAAAAATCTGCATGGGAATTTCACACAGAGAACCTCGATTTGACATTTAATAACTCATAGAGTTATATATGAAAGGCAATAGGACCAGGCCTGGTTCAGAATCCAGAGTAACTTTGCGAGGGTTACATCATAAGGAGATCTTAGTGGAGAGGACTCTAAGAAACCAGTAATACTCGTCATCAGCCCCATTCACAAAATCTGGGGGAGCTTGAGTGGGAAAATAAACAACCACTCTGGATCTTTATAGCCAACAGTTTCCTCATCTCTCTGACTATCCCATAGTCACTTCAAATGCAATATATCTGAAATTGGACAAATGCTCCTCCCTTCCCAATCGGACCTTCTTTTATATCCTAGGCTTCTAACAGAAGCAACTGAATGGATCATGATGCAATCTGCTAAGAGGAAACACATTTAAATCACATAGTTGATTTCTCAGAAGAAGCAGGAGTGTGGTAGAATGGATTATTTGTTCTCAGTTCTTCCTTTCTTCTCTCAATTACCAGGGTTTACTGTGGGCAGAGAATAAATCCCAACCCTCACTGATTTGGTTTGGCTTGGCCTCTTTTGCACTTCTGCCATTGGCCATGAGAAGAACACACCCTGAGTAGCCACTGGTGATTCATGGAGCAGACAAGAAACCTCCCTGCAGCCAGAAGCCAAGTGCTGCAGAGCTGCAACCACTTACAGACCCATGAGTGATAAATAAATGCTTGCCTTTGTAAGCCATTGAGGTTTGGGGGGTTAGCTGTTATGTAGCATTATCACCTCAGAAACCTGACTAATACAGAAACCTGCTCTGGGAAGACAAAATAATAAATATATACCACAGTCTATCCTTGGTAGTTTAGTGTGAACATGCATGCACATACGCACACACACACACACCCCTTTATTCCTGTGCACACATTTTTTAAATGTTACCACCTAACATAGTGCAGCTACTCCACGTACAACCGAAAATAAACTGACACCCTTTGCATTTAGGAGACAACTGAAAATCACAGCCACTCTCCCCATCAGGCTCTCAAGTCAAGTATCAATTGGTGATGTCCATGGCTCGGGTCAGGATGAGATGTGGGGTCTCGTGGTCTTGCAATTTGAGGGCTGAATGATATCCGATATACAACATGAGGAGGGAGGGACCAAAAATGTTCAATAAACATCTCAAACATGGACATGATCCTCCTGGACCATCCTCTATGAATGTCCACTTGCTGATTCGCTCCCCTAGTAGTGGAGAGAGGTCCTTGATCAACTCGGGTTGTGCCTATAGGATTTCCTTCACCCAGTGTCTGCCAAGATCCCACCTGAAAGACGCAGTGGGAGGATTCCGCTCCTGAGCATGGTACCATCTTAGCAGCCCACTTCATAAAGGAGCATGATGGGCGGACCCTTGATAAATCAGGTCATTGGCCAGGATGTACGCTTTCTTACTGGAGCTGTACGCCAGACTTATTCCCTACTTTCAAATGGATCATCTAGAACCAAAGCTTAGCTCTCTCTCTTAAAGCACCTTGAGAAAGGCAGACAAGCAGCCCACCCTGGGAAACATCCAGACATCTTAAAGGTAGATGCACAGTCCCAGGAGACGACAAACCATAGTCCGATAAATGGTTTTGCTGCCCTTTATTATAGAAAAATGGAGGGCTCTGCCATTCACAACTCAATCAGTTCCACATTCTAAAGTCTGTTGCCTGCAAAATCTCTCTTCTAGGTACAAATTTCTGACTTAGTTTGGGTTCTTTTGATAGCAAGCAAACAGAAACCAATGCAATTGGCAATAAGCGCAAAGTGAGGGCGTGGGCTGTGGGAGAACTCATTGGAAAGACACTGAGGAAGTTCACATACTCAAAGGGAAGCTGAACAACCAAGCTGTGGAAGGCAGAAACCAGGGCTTCATAAATGAACCCTTTGTTCAGCAAGGTCATAGGGAGTGCCCAACCTAAGCGTGTCTCCTTGAGCTCAAGGAACAGCCACTTTTTGGGCTGATAAAAATGTTCTAAAATGGACTGTGCTAATGGTTGCACGACCTTGTGAATATACTAAAAACCAAAGAATGCTTTTTAGGTGGGTAAATTATATGGTAGGCAAATTCTATTTCAACAAAGCTATTAAATACTTTTTTTCTGTGTAAAAATGTTTATTTGTACTAATGTTTGGACTACAGAAACTAAAGAAAGAAAAAAGACACCTCAACTCCAAAGAGACAGTGAATTAGGACCTGCCCACAGCCAAGGGGAAGGTCACTCCAGGGTGTCCTGGCATGGACTGTCCCTCCCGCTACTTAACGTCAGTGTCGTCAGGCAGAAAACTGAGGAATCGGGGTGTGATGACCTTATATACTTTTTTTTTTTTTGTCAGGAAGTCAAAGAGAAAAAAAACAAAGATTAAAAAGAGGCAATCCACAAAGGTGGAGATCAAAATGGCTAACATCACCAGCAATCAGAGAAAGGTCAAAACAACAACAAGACACCACTTTGCCCCCATCAGACAGGCAAAAATTAGAAAGGTGGATAATACTTAGTGCCTATGAGGGGACCTGGCACCCTCCTGACCTGCTGATGGAAATGTGGACAGGCTGCTACGGCCACTTTCCAGAAAAGCAACCTGGCTGGTCTTGACTCAAGTAAACGTGCCTATTTCCCGTGGCCCAGAAATTCCACTCCTGGCTATGTGTATTCCAGAGAAGCTCACATATAGCTCCATTAGGTCACATGTGCAAGGATATTCTTTGCAGCATTGTTTGTGTTAGCAGGAAGGTGGATGCAACTCAAGAAATACACAAGTGAATGTAATGGCTCCGACTAAGGAATACAGAGCAGCAGCCCAAAGCAATGAACTAAATGTACATAAAGCAGTAGGGATAGACTTTAAAAACATGGTGTTAAGTGATAACAGTAAAAAACAGAATAAGAATTGTAGCGCAGTGCCATTTATATAAAGACATAAACATGCACAAAACAACACTGTCGATGTTTCAGGGATATATACCTTTTCAAGAACGTGGTGGTACCAATGTCACCTCAATAAAAAATCAATTTAAAAAATAGAACAAGTAATAATAAAAATAAAAAGAGAACATGGTGGAAGGGGAATACAGAAAACTATCAGGGGCCTTGGACTGACCACGAAGGATAGCGAGCCACAAAAGGAGATGTGTGATGAACTAAGCTCTCTGTGTCAGAGATTTTTTTTTAATTAAATAAATAACAAAAGCTAAATGTTGTACTGGCTCATTCTGGATGACTCCAACAAATAAAAGAAATTAGAAAAAGAAACAAACTCACCCACCTTCACCACCACCCAAAGATAACCATTGTTAATATTCTCAATGTTTTTGCAATGAATTGCTTTTTAAAATTATTTCATATAACTATTTTACATATAAATGATTTAAACTTTTATTACCTTTCATATAGTTATATTACATGTAAGTGATGTATCATTTTACCACTTTATCTTTAATAGTTATCCTAAAATAAGATTTCTTCAGGTTAAATAATGTATGGCAGAAGGGCTTAAAAAGTTTTCAACAGCCAGATTTGCTCCCTTGCCTAATAAAGTCACTTACAGGTGTGTCTCGTGGAGGAAAAAAGAGATGTCTTATAAAAAAAGACATTTTCTGATATGTGAAGAGTGTATGACACCGTATTTACCCCCTTCACTATTCTCTTTAAGCATCAAATAATTTAGAGCTAAAGAAAACCTCAGGAGTGGACGATAAATTATCTTGATTGGGTTGCCAATCTGCAGGCACTCTGCCTTTTCTCACAGCTATGGGATCTCACCAACGGCAGTTTTGCCTTCGTAATAAACCTTGTTTCTAGGATTTAAATTCTAAGTGGTTTAACTCCTGGTTGCCTTCCTGAGTTTCTGAATGGCGTAAGAGTGAAGTTGCAATCAAGGAATCAAAGAAAACAAGACAAAACAAAATAAAAATACCTCGAGAGTTTACCTGATCTGTGCTGTATTTCCGTGAGGTATTCTAGGTTACATGTTATTTTTCCTTTGATGATCTTTCTGAATTCTTCTTTCTGCCTGGGTTGAACTGAGTTTAAACTGAGCTGTTTCTCTAAGACCAGAAAGATATCAAGAGCAAATAACCGTCATTGCCAAACTAGCCAATCCATGTTGTACGGCTCCAGATTAATCACAGAGAAAATGAACGCAGGAAAATTCTACCACACCCTGATCGAGAGATGCTGGGATATTGGAGGCTGCCTTCTATCTAATTCAGTTCAGTAGTTTTCCAGGGCAGCCGCCTTGACCAGGCAGTTTGCCCATGCCTGGGCGGGGGGTATTCTGTCTGAGAATTCAGCCTCATTTCTCTTAAATAAAAAGGTATTGCTTCTCCATGAAAGGTGCTTTGGCTCTTTGGTGAATCGCAGCTTTGCAAGATACAAACCATAATTTAAGGTTGGTCTTGCCTTCATGTTCTGCTAATCAATAAAGACAGAAGCAACATTATAAATATACATACTTTTACTAAGGATGAATTCTGGACACTAGGCTTCCTATTTCTGTGCAACCAGCCAGAGTCCGGCATATCAGAGAGAACTGCTAAGGAGCACTTGAAACGTAACTAGTCTGAATTAATGCGCTGTTGAGATCAACAGACCCGGACTATACGCTAAATTCAAAACAAACGTCCAATAAACATTAAATCTCACTTCTAAGTTAAGAAAGGCATCATTTATGTAACCACTTGAAGGATTTTCTGCTCCACAATTATGGTTTGGCTTTGTTAACTGACATTTTAAAACAAGTTTGATCTGGTCATTAGCATTATGGGCTCCCCGCCTGCTACAGGCTTCCTAGGTTGCCATTATTCTGTTTTAGACTAGAAAATAATTACACTAATATACAATTATTTATTATCAAGCCGGACATAGCCAGGATTTAGGAAAGCCATGGAGAGGGATTCTAGTGCAATTTACAAATATAATAAATTCCCAACTGCATAGCATGACTGAGTTTCCCACTGTCCATTCAACAGTTGAAAGCCTCAGTATTGTTACATAGAATCCCTTCATAAAACACGTCAGTTCGCCAAATCTACCCAACGCTATCCTAGGTTGTAGGAAATCATTCTTGTGCATGTCCACATGTGTGTGTAGCTTCTCTCAGTAATGTAGAAAGCCTTGGATCCATGTCTTCACCTCCCCGGTGAGATGCCATGGCATTATTCTACCCTCCATTGAAACACTCTTAAAAGACTCAGATGTTACTTGTGTGTGAATCTCTTCCTATCAGCCCCTAACATCCGACTGAATTCTTGGAACACAAGGCTCAAAATCTACCGTCTAGCACCCTCTTGGCAAAGCTGATTCAAAAAAATGTTTGATGAATTGAATTCTCCATGTGTCACAACATTTCTTTCTTAAAAGGTTCCGTTTTCTTTAGTCCTAATGATTAGAAAGGCCAAGTTTTCTGATCAACAGTAGCTTCCATCTGAAGCTTGCTAGGTGGTCTGCCTATTTTCTAAACTGTACCCAACCAAAGACAAAATGTCAAAGTATAACATTGGCATTTAGTAGATTTGGCTGTCAATGTTTATTCTCCTTTGAATGCAGAAAATACTCATTACTTGAAAATATTCTTAGTATTACTTAAAATATTCTTACTGCCAAGTAAATTTCCCCTCTAGTGGTCCTTAGTAGAAAGTGGTAAATGCTAGAACGGTAAATGCCAACTCACTCGTGTCTTTCTTCTCTTTAAGAACGCTGTTCAGCATCCGGAGAGTTCTAAGGAAGAGAGAAACAAGTGCTTTCTCAAAAACAAGAGGCCAATGTAGGACTAGGGTACCTGGGAAGCCACCAGAAAAAACCAGCAAGATGACAGATTACTAAACCCAAAAGCAAGCCTCATATATGGCTTTTCTATACTGGTTTCACCTCAAACACAAAAATGTGCATAACCAAACATGAGATGCTATAAGGTTGTAATATATATACTTGTCCTCTGTGAATTATACCCAGGGATTCTACCATAAGCAAGTGGTGGATCTGCACGCCCCCTTTATACAGAATCTAGAGCTGTGCTGTCCAATACTGTAGCCACTCCCACGTGTTGCTATTAAGCACTTGAAATGCGGCTGGTTCCAACTGAGATGTGCTGTAAGTATAAAATCCACACCAAATTTCAAAGACTTAATATGGGAAAAAATATCTCATTAATAATTTTTATATTGATTACATGTTGAGATTATAATATTTTAGATATATGGTGTTAAAATATATCACTAAAATTAATTTCATCCATTTCTTTTTACTTTTTAATATGGCTACTAGAAAATTTCAAATAACACATGTGGCTTACATTTTATTTTTTGGATAGCGCTGGTCTAGAGAGCAGCTGGGATAGAGAAGGGAAGAGAAAGGGGATCTTGGAGCTCTTCTAAAGCCTGGGTTGCGAACCTGGGTTTCTCATCACCAAAGTGTCTGTGCCTATTACTGAGAATGTCAAGAACACCCACAATGACTCAATTTTCAGGACATTCCAAATCCGGGTGGCATTATTTGAGGAGGTGGGCTCATTATGTCTCAGGAGCATCCTTGGGAAATGATTGGGTTAGCCAGCGATTGGTCTCGCCAGTGTTTATAATACAAAGATTCATCTACTCAACTCCTACTCATCCATCAGGATTCGGATCAAGCCTTGTATTATGCCCTTCACCAGCTAGACCACATCCTACAGGTCTTCTGTATTCTCTGCTGCATCAGTTCAGGGTTGGGCCCACAGCATGGGCACAGTATCTATGAAAAGCTGAACTAAGTATTGACCTTTCCCCTGTAGACTTTTTCTCATTATCTCATAATTATTCTTTTTTCACTAAATAAATATAATCTCATCGGAAACACGAATGCTGCTCAAACGTTATGGTAAAACAACCATCACTGCATGATATGTTTCTGGAAGAACTCAGAATAATTTCACACCGTGGCCTCCAGGGCAGGGAACAAGGTGGCTGAGGACAGAGGTTAAAGAGAGACTTTTCTGTAACCTTTCAATGTGGAAGCTCATGTCATAAATTCTTTTAAAACCATTTAAAGAGAATATCCTCTCTAAATAGAAAAGAGATTTTTAAAACTTAGATTCCACTGAAGACTTGTTAGAACTTTTCTTGCCTCGCACATTTTAGATCAGCAGTCAACAAATTTTTCCTGTAAAGTGCCAGATAGTGAATGTTTTAGGCTGTGTGGGTCTCTGTGGCAACTACTGAACTCTGCCATTGAAGCAGAAAAGCAGCCATAGATAATATGTAAAGGAATGCGTGCAGCTGTGTGCCAATAAAACTTTATTTGCAAAAGTAAGGCGAGATTTAGCCTGTGGCCATAGTTTGCCACCCCCTTGCTTTAGATAGTGCCTCCTTTAATCAATAAAGAACGTGTAATCATGCTATTTACTTTTCCATTCTTAAACAGGTTAAAAGAAATCTCCCTTCAACCCAAGTTAAGAGTTATGCTTAGGAAGGTTGGAACAAAGAAAGATAATGGAGAACAGAAGAAAAACATCTAGTTTATGGGATAAAACCATAGAGTTGCGATATTCACTCAGAAAAGCAAAGATGTGTCAAAAGGCATGAAAAACTCTCATCCTGCAGGAAATCTTCCTGGTTTGAATCAATGGTGGCAACAGAGAGGTCATGGTCTGGGTTGAAAATTACTTCTGAGTCTTCATACTTCTCAAGTTTGACATTAAAACAATATATACTTGTGCAAATAAATTCAGAAATTGCTACTCCAGAAATGTAGATAGTCTAAATTAGCTAAATATTGATCTCTTGCCATTAAATTCTCTACAGAAGTGACCATTATAACAAGTAGTCTGTCATCATGGCCTGTGGCATGTGATGAGGTTTCTCTAATTCAGAGAATCCCCTTGAGAGGGTGATTCAGTGTGGAAAAGTTTAGCTTCCTGGGACACTGGCCCCACCAACCAGGTTCTAAGGTTTTATCTCACTCAACCAAATACTCCCAGCATGTTAACTGAAAGCATAGTCTCCCTCAGCGAAAACAAATCAAAGCGATAGATCTATTTTCAAAACTTGTTCAAGAAAAAGATGGGAAGTTTAAAACTTAACATTCAAGCTTAAAAATGAACTATATAACCAAACAGTGTCAACTGGATTCCCCAGCTTTTCCCTGGTATTCTTCCCAGAGGAAGCAGGTAATACTGAAGAAGCTACAGAGGTGGAAAGTGGGCCCCATTCAGGACAGAGAAAACTGAATGGCATCCATAGAATTTGCCACCATCTTTTAGAGATATTCATGGCCATGAACCTTAAAAACCAAAAGCTACATGGCAAAAAGCATCTCAACAAGTTAAATTTGTATTTTCATAAAGCTCAGTATGTCCCACATGGAAAGCCTATGTTGAAACAGGGTAGGATGTCCACTAGACCAGTGAAAAATCTTGATGTTAAGCAAAACCCAAAGAGAAATGGAAATCCAGTTATTTTGTTCAAGGGCAGTGTGAGTCACAATAGCATTAACTGTTTTTCAAAATGGTTCACCTATTGATTATTTCTGGTAATAGAAGAAGCAGTAATATGGGCAAAATGGCAGGTCATCATTACATTTGGCTTATTAATAAACCCATATTCAAAAGTAAATACAAGACAAATAATGGTATCACACAACAAAAGTCTACCTCAGGAAGAACTAGAAGCTAGACACTTCCTCAAAGCTAACTGTCTGGCCAGCACTGACTGAGCCACTCGGATTAATGACGAGCATAGAGCCTACTTCCTTGCCATTGACCCTGAGGAGAACACAGTTGTGATTCCATTTTACAGACTGAAAGAATCCCACATCTCCTCATCCACAAGTGAAACAGAAGAGGTAGAAGGAAGAGTCTCATAAGGGTTTGGCAGCCTAGGGTGAGAGTGGTCCAGACATGTTGCTGCTACAAGATCTTGAACTCTTTCTTGCTCCATTCAAGAAATCCAGCCAAGCTCCAAAGATGTCAGCACAGAAAGGAACCCCACAGGCAGCATCTCACCAACTCTGGATTTCTGGTGATGTTTCTGTGTATCTCACCTCATCTTATACGGCATCTTTGGGTTTCAGAACCTCAGCTCTAGGGGAAATAGTGGTGAATGCCAATGTCTGGCACTGACCTTAACAGAGCATAGATGTGCATGAAGCTAATACTTTTTATTTGAACAAAATAGCAAGTCAGAGTAAGAAATACAGCAACAAAAGTGTCAATTAGGAATGGAACTAGATGGCTTATGGAGAAAACAAAAATGAATGAGTCCCTTCAGCTTTGGCCTAATTCAAATTTCAATTTTGTGAAAATGTAGACTGATACCAAGCAGGTGATTGACACTGTGGGGGATCAAAATTGGCCACTCCAAAATGTATCTCTTTGGCTTGACTACTT